TGTTTTCTTTTCAAGCAACCAAAAAGTATAAATACCCCATCCGCACTCCTAGAATTCGTCCGACTTTACTATTTTAGAGTTTCTCTTCTCTCTTTATTAATCCTTAGTCAATATATGTTGTTCTAAGGGTTGATTTATTACATTCAATAATTTGGTATTGTTGGGTGTGAACCATTAAAGGCAATCTACTTTGGTTGTTATCTTCCTAGGCTTGTTGGAATTCGATCAACATCAAAGCTTCTTCAAGCAAATTGGTTTTGCTAAAGGTTAGTAATTTTTATCCCTCTTTTAGTTGTTCATATTATTTAGGTTAAGATACTTGTAGGTTTTAGTTGATTGTTTGCCTAAGATTAAAATTGTTTGTTTCTGATGTCATGCGATAATCTATGAAGTATATAGAAAATGTTTCAGTCGTATCAAAGCATTGCTTAAATGATATTTGCACTACATAAAGCTTGAAATTACATTGTGTTTATCATGTTCTTGAGAAAAATCGAAAATAATGATATAGTTAGGTGTAAATCAAAATTTTGAGACATTGTGTTGAACATAAACCTCAACAACAATTTTCTATTTTGTTCTTTCGTGCAATTTTCGTGTTATATTTTCCTAACAATCTTAAAACAAAATTTGTTTGTACGAAACAATGAAAAAGAAAAGAAATTCCTTTCTATTTTATGATTATGGTTCTTACCAAAATGAATACAATTTGTTTCCCTTCACGGTTTTAGATTTTGTTTTTAGAAATCGTTTTCTAAGATGATTTCTGATTTTCTGTTTGGTATCAATTAACAAAACGGTTATTATTTTTTGCTTTTGTTTTCAAAAATCATTTTCTAAAATAGATTTTAGAATCGTTTTCTGGAAAAGACACCCCTCAACAGTTTAGTTCTCAATAATCTTGTTTGGTTTTTAGTAAACTGTTTAATATTTGGTATCTACTAAAATTGTAGGTTTCTCTTTATAGCATGACTGTTGAAAGCTATCAACCAAAGCCTACTAGTACTCCTAATTCCCAAGGAGCTCCAACGATGACCATGTCGTTCAATCATGCGGAGAAGTCATAAAATTTTCTCGGACTGCACTTTAAAAGGTGGTAGCAGAAGATGTTCTTCTACCTAACTACCTTGAATCTTGCAAGATTCTTGACTCGAGAGGTTCCAAGGATGTCCGAAGGAGAAGGAATTATGTTCTTATACAAGCCTCAATAGCACTCAAAGCCTAAAGTGTTGCCACTTTTTAAGCTAGTTAGGTAGAAGAACATCTTATACTGCCACTTTTTAAAGTGTTACCCGAAAAACTTTTTCGGCTTGTCTGCATGATTGACCGACATGGTCATCGATGGAACTCCTTGGGAATTAAGAGTACCAGTAGGCTTTGGTTGAGACTTGAGAGCTTTCAATAATCATACTACAAAGAGAAACCAACAATTTTAGTAGAACCCAAATATTAAACAGTTTAGTAAAAACCAAACAAGATTATTGATAACTAAACAAGATTATTGAGAACTAAACCGTTGAGGAATGTCTTTTCCAAAAAATGATTCAGAAAATTGTTTTAGAAAATTATTTTTGAATACAGAAGCAGAAAGAATAAACGTTTTATTGTTAATTGATACCTAACAGAAAATCAGAAACTGTTTTAGAAAATGATTTTTGAAAACAGATCTAAAACTGTAAAGGAAAAAAAGTGTTCTCGTTTTTGTAGAACCGTAAGCAGAAAACATAAAGAATTTTTTTTCTTTCAATTGTTCGGTTCGTACAAACGAATTTTGTTTTAAGATTGTAATGAAAATATAACACGAAAATTGCACGAAAGAACGAAATAGAAAATTGTTGTTGAGGCTTGTGTTTAACACGGTGTTTTTAAAACAAATTCGTCCGATATGAGTGTTTGTTTCCCAGGATACAGTAGTGGAAAAACAATTCTTCAAGATCGCCGACTTTTGTATACTGAGATATTTCAACTTGGTTAAAATGGTGAGTTGCATTAGAAAGCACAATGCAAACTCTAAGTGCATTCGTGGGGGAAGTGTCAATTAAAATCTCGACACAATAAATCCTCCAAAACAAAATGATTTGCTCAAGAAATGTCTACAACAATATGGCACCACATAAGTATTTATGTAAATGGAGTTTATGGAGAATATATTGCAAACGCAACACCAAGTTTATGAGATCTGTAAAACGATCAAGTCTAAGGATTCTTGTTGATATCATTTCTTCCATTGAGGCAACCTCTGGATCCGAACCTGCAAATGTTACTGAAACCCTAGTTACAAGATTTCCAACTTCCATATCCAATAAGATGAAGATAATTTATCAATGCATACCTTGCCGGAGTTTTCTTTGTTTCCGACTATGGTCTGGCAAGCTAACCTCCATGATTCCGGTTTCTGCATAAATAAATTACCAACACATTTATTCAGGTATGCAGCAGGTTCGTTATCGATGCTAATAAACATGGAGAATTGAGAAACGAAACCTTTTTCAAGTATTTGAGTTCTGTATTTGTTCTCTCATTTAAAAGCTCCTTTCCTTCTACAACCTGTAAATGTATTATAAGAATAAACAAAGAAAAACCGATTAATGAAATTTGCTACAAGATTTACCTCCACGATGCAAGTGCCACAGCTTCCGCCACCACCGCAGTTCATTACCTTTCCCTTTCCAAAACAAATTCAAACTCGAATGCTCGATTATCATGGCACAAGTCATAAATGCAAGTTTCTCTGTGTGTTTTGTGTGTGAGGATGCGAATTGGTATGGTGTAAAGTAACATACATACGTGCCGTAGAGTTCGATTTTGTTATCCGCCATTATTGTTCTTAGGAGCTTCTCTCCGCTCGCTGCCGCCGCTCTGTCCACCGGATACTTCCCATCGTCACCAGGCTTTGGCTTCATTTCATCACCAACGACATCATAAAAACTATTTTATTCATAAATTGCAGCACAAAAACATGATTGATGAATTAAAAAGTAAAATAACTGCCAATGAATTTGAGTTACCCCTAAGAATTCGAGCTCGATTTCAGGCGTGGTTGTCGGTGGTTCTTCAGTAGAATTGCTGACGGCAAAGGACAACGTCGGTCTCTTTCTGTTGAAAGATATGACGGAGTTTGAGAAACCACTGCTAACAATGGTGATCTCCGGTGATCGGAGGGGCAACGGGGACAATTTCACGGCGAATGCCATATCTTTCTTCTTCGGTTTTGCTTGTGGTCTTTCTGTGACCACACTTTTTATTTTTGTGTAAAGTATTTGAAAACTTTTGCGTAAACCCCTGGACTTATAGATAGCTGTAAATTCGCCCTTAATCTTATAAAAGTTCTCCTATAGACCCTCAATTTTATGAAAGTTGACACTAACTGCCAACTGCCAAGCACCAAGGTTTGGACCGTTTGGTCGAGGCTAAAGGGGTCAAAGTAGTAAAATCTTGAGATGAGCATAATCAATGCTATATTCCGATAGAGTCTTCCGGTATACATTTCACGTGCCATGCTCGTGATTGATATGACAAAGTGGTGGGTATAATTTATGGTAGATTGTGGTGGAATGTGATCATCACCACAATTAACCACGTCTAATTATATTTTCTATCTTTTTATCTTTTTATTTACATTTTAAATAATTAAAAATATATATATTATTTAAATAATAAAAATAAAATAAAAAGAATATGATAATGTGGGGTGATTAATATATTAACCTAATATAATTTTGTGTAGTTACTAGTTAGTGTTATCCATACCGATGGCCTAACAAGAAAAGGTTTTGAAGACCAACTCCAAACGGATAAACAAAAATTATATTTTACTACAAGTGACGATTAAACTCAACATAAATAATAGAACCGAATAACAACTTCTATATTTAATGAAACACATTCGTTACACAAACATTTTTGTTTAAACTTATACATTTTTAGCTAGTTTCTTACTTTTAAGGACTACGTATAATTAATGCATTAGAGTTTATGATATTTAAATATATTTTTAGTGTAAAGTTTTAGTATGTATTCGGTGTTAAAAAAAGAAAGTGTAAATTTTGTACAAATAGTGTCAAAGAGAGTTTTAGTGTAAATTTTACATAAATATAATGTAATTTTGAGTGTCAGGTAGGGATGGCAAAAAGCCCCATACCCGATGGGGAACCCGAAACCCGCACCCGTTTTGACCGGGGAATCCCCAAGTTGACCGGGGATGGGGACGGGGATGGGGAATCCCCGAATAAAAAAGTGGGGAAGAGGATGGGGATGGGGATACCCCTAATCCCCGACCCTGGACCCGCCCCCCGATATATATATTAATATATAAAAGTAATACAAAACATATATTTATAGTACAATTTACAATACATAGAATTTTATCCAAGTAACCTAACTCATTAGTAATTACTTGGTTGAAATTATACTTTGTTTTTCTTTTTATCTTATTTAAACTCATGTATAATTTTTTTGTATTTTGTCCATCTATTTTACCTCAAATATCACTCTGATAATTTTTTCTACTTGATTTCTCATGTATATATTTAAATATGATAGAAAAATTTTTTATATTTTTTATGCAATCTATATATTTTTTTATATTTTGTAAAATCTTTAAATTTATGCTGGTAAAATTGAAATTTAAATGTTTTCTTTACATAAAATTTTTCATATTAAAAGTGAAAAAAAAATCTCCGATTTCCTGTTGGGGATCCCCAATCCCCGTTGGGGGTGGGGATGGGGGTTTATCTATATTCCCCGGTGGGGATGGGGATGGGGATTGGAATGAGTATTCAGGGATGGGGATGTGGATTGGGGTCCCCTGTAAAACCCGCCCCCGTTGCGATCTCTAGTGTCAGGGTTTAATCCGAAACAACCAAAATTGTCGCCCTTTGACCTTTTTGGTTTTTTGACTTATAAAAAATTGTAAGGACATCTTTTGCCATTAAATCATGCCATAGGAACTTCTTTTGTAATAAGATTCCTTTAGTAACCCAAAAAAAAAAATACCACATGGGCAATTTTTAATATGGTTACAAGATTTTAATTATTATGAGCGATGAATCTTCCTCCAAGGAATATTGAATACACAGGCCGTGTTACATGTTAAGACCACAACATAGATTGATACATGAGAAAGATAGGCAAAATGCAAGACTCAAAAGTTACATCTTATGATCTTATACTTATTATGATACAAAGTTATGCACACTTTATACCAACCGGAAATTCACAATATTATAGGAGTTTAGCCTCAATCTCCTCCAAAGTCAGCCCTTTTGTTTCTGGTACAATGAAGAAAATGAAAACCAGAGACAACACTGCTATCCCTCCAAATATGAAGAACAGTATGCCAGCCCCAAGCAACGTCTAAAAAATAGTTATAACAAACACATTAAAAAACAGGAAAAATATAATCATTTAAAGAAAAAAAAACATTTTTTACCTCTAATGGAGAAAATGCAAATGTGACAATTGCATTGGCGCCAAAATTCACGAGGACTGCTATACTTAATCCACGTCCACGTAGGCGTAATGGGAAGATCTCGGATATCATCAACCATCCAATGGGACCAAAAGATATCTGCAAATTAATATTTTTATAAATTTATATAGAAATGAAGTGAACATTAACAGATACTAATTTATTTATTTATATACCTGATAACATCCAACATATAGAAGCAATGCAACAACAGCCACTGTGGGTATGTTACCAAGGTAAGTGTAGAATGATCCCAACAGAAATAATGAGACTACCTGCAACATAACATAACATGATATATAATTAATTAATTTTAATTACAACTTGTGTAATTTGAATTAAAATCTTAATGTGTAAAATTATAATGAAAAATTACGATGCCAGAAACTCCGCCAAGAAGCAAGGGTCTCCTTCCTACTTTGTCAACAACCATAACAGCTACACCAGTCATGATTAACTGCAAAAGGTAAGGAGAAGAAATTATCAGTTAAGAATCTTATGGCGGAATTGGAATTCGAGATTCCATTCCATTGTGTGTTTGGTTGCCAAATGGGTGGAAATCAATTCCGTCAGATTCCTTCATGTTTAATGCTCTCGCCATTCGTAATTCAATTCTGTTCTTCCTTTTTTTAATTAAAACAACAAAATACCCTGTTTATATATATTGAAGTGGATAAAACTAAAAAAATGATTGTTTATTGAATTCCATTCCATTTCCTGCCAACTAAACACGTGACAAATTACAATTCATTGAGATTCCATTTCGTAGGGGAGGATGGAATCATGGAAGGAATTGAATGACATTCTTCTTTCTATTTTTTTCCTCTTAAAGACACCAAAATGCCCTTATTATATATAGAAGTAAATAAAGATTAAAAAAAAAAACAAAGAAAACAAAACAAGTATTTAATTCTTATTATGAATTTCATCTATTTGCTGCCAACCAAACAAGTGACAAATTATACTTCCATCAGATTCCATTTCCTAGGGGTGGATGGAAGGAATTCAATTCCATCCTTCCTTTTTTTTAAGTAAAACACAGAAATACCCTTATTATATGTATATTGAAGTAAATAAAAATTTTAAATTTTATTATAAGCAGAAATTTAAAGTTATTTAAGTTTTATTATGGGATTCCTGCCAACCAAAAGCATGACAAATTCCATTCTACAAACCAAATACCGATGAAATATCTTTGAAATTTCAAATATGTACTATTTACTTTTGGGAGAGAGAGAGAGAGAGAGAGAGAGAGAGAGAGAGAGAGAGAGAGAGAGAGTCCACCTTTAACAAACCAAGTAGAATGGAAGCCCTTGTTGCATCCGAAGCAGCAGCAAACCCTGCAGTCTATACAATCATAGCAATTCAGGAACAAAAACATGTTTTAAAAATTTAAAAGATAAAAATCAAAGGTTTCCAAATTCTATCTTCTTTTATAACACCAAATTCAACAATCATATACCTGGAAAATCGATGCAGCATAGTACAATACGCTAGGTTGACCTGTTATCTGCCATACAAGAGTGACACATGTCACACATCTAAGCTTTGAAAAAAGAAGCCAATGCTCTTCAATGTAAATTTACCTGCTGGAACAAGACTAAACCTGCACCAATAATCAGGGCTTTCAAGCATTTCCCCTGAAACATCTCCCCAAATGTAGCTTCATTTTCCTCACTGATATAAGATAACTCAACAAGAATCTCTTCAACTTCTTGAGATGCTGAGTCATCCATGGCTTCTTCACCTCTAAGCCTACGTAAGCAATATATCGCGTATTCACGTAGGTCCCGCATATCGCCTTTTCCTTGTATTGCGCGTAGGAGAATCCATCTTGGTGAAGCAGGTAGCCACCACATTCCAATAACCATAACCACTCCAAAAGGAGTAGCAGTTGCATACATATATCGCCAACCACCTTTCACATCAACCAACAGGCTTCCAACCACATAACCTAACTGCAATAACATGAACATATTTGATTTGATGGGAAATGAATGGAATGATAAACAAAAGTGATATTTTATTATGAAAGATCCCAGAGAAAGATGAACTACTTACAACCATTCCTGACACAATGAAAAATTCTTTCAGGGATATCAATCGACCTCTTATTTGACTTACAGCTGTCTCAGCAATGTACATTGGAGCAGCATGCATTGCCTATATAGGAAAACAGCTGGAATTATAAACATTCTGCACCATTTTGCTTCATGTTAACATACAAGGAATCCTCATAAAAAGTATAAATGTAGTATGGTAGCTTCATATCTTACCAATCCAATGCCTATACCATATACAATACGCCCAATCACCATAATTGCAAAAGTCGGTGCGAGTGTTGTTATCAGAGCACCAATAATATACGATGCAGCTGACACCATCAGCTCCCTCCTCCTTCCTTAAATAAATATTAAATACAAACTCAGTACTTATTATCAAGACAAGTAAACAGGTATGCTTATGAATTTGAAACTTCAAGTCTTCAAATTAGAATCATTGCTAACCTAGAAAGTCAGCAACATTAAAAGCCAATATGGAACCAAGCAAAGCTCCATACAGTGAACCACTGGTCTGTGATGACCCAAAGCAAGAAGAAAGATTAGTTGTCTGTAATGTGAAAGAAAAACGCATGGCATTAAGGAGTAAGGAATTTATAAACTTACAATAAGACCAATTTGCACAGAGGACAAGTCATACCATGAGACACCACTGGATGTAGGTGACTGCAGCATTTTACAAATACAGTACACAATGAGACAATGAAGAAACAGAAGAGATAGAAATAGAAATGAAAATCACTTTTATAAAAATTCACTAAAAAGATACCTTGATGTTGATTGTAGCAGAAGAGGTGGCACCGATGTCAAAGCCATATAACAGGCCTCCAAGAGCAGGGAAAAAAAACCTGAGATTATTGAGTCATTCATCACTATGAGAAATTTATCACTACTATAATGAAAATGAAAGATTGATGATGTAGATAACTCTGGCATTTTCTATCACAGAAAATTAGTCACTCAAATAAATGACACATTAGTTGTCCAACTGCAAGACATAAAGGCAGTACAGCACACCCTTCATTTCTACATGTCCATGTATTAGTTACAAAAACTTATAACCATGATATTTTTCCTCTACACATAACAAAAAGAGGAGAATCAATTTTCTTTCAATATTGAATCTGTATGTTCAGATTCAGAATCAATACAACAGTGCAACAATTTAACACCCATGTTCACCTATTGGTATTGTTTGTTACAAAGTTCATTATCTCTGTCAAAATTTATCCAGTATGCTACAGATGCAGCAATTAATCGGAATTTAACACATCTGCCTTAAATGTGGATGTTGGATGTGTTCTTTAGCACCTAGGAATAGTAACTAGCACCTCAAATTTTGCAATTGTGTATAGTTGTTTCCAGGGAGAAATTCCAGGGATCCTGAGTGTTTTCTCAAATCTTAACATCAATTAAAAAATGTAATGAAGTCAAAACAGTCTGGAGATCTTGTTATTCGGTTGAAAACAACACATCATGACCTAAAGAATTCATTAGCAATGGCCTACAAAATATAGACCCTTGCTCTGTCGAATCACTAAACTTATACGACAGGAAAAGTTCAAAATCACAATAGCATCTGCAACAGCAGCATAGACTTCAAAATCGAAAACGTCATATAGATACATGGATCAAAATACGAACAGCATCAAATTGGGCGGTTTGTAAAGAAGAAACTTACGGAAGAACAGCAGCAGCTACCGAGTACCTCTCCGAGTGACGTTGACCGTTGAGTAGACGCACATCAAGGCCCTCAATTTCACCGGATGACTTCCCCGCCTATAAAAGTATAAAATCTCTCACAAATTCCACCGTCATATAGAAAAAGAAAACCTTACATGTGGATCAAAAACAAGTTTACGAAAATAATTTCATGTAAGAGACCTTGCCGATGGATGAGAACGTATGGTGCTGGTGTTCGGGATCGGTGGTGGTTGTGGACGCCATAGCTATGCAGCACGTAGTAGCAGCTTCCTAACCAGAAATACAGTCAAAAAAGAAAAATAGCGGCTAACGAATGAAAGTTGTAATTTTGTTGACCACGCGGATCTTAGTAAAGAAAGTTGTAATTTTGTTGTAAAAAATAAAAATCCTCATTGGAAAAAAGACTTAGGTCTTATTTGATAATTGCTGATTGAAAAAGTACTGAGTGGAAAATGTCTGTCTGGATAAGAAATCCTGACTAATAAGAAACCATGCTCTTTGATTGTATATCTGACTGAATGTGCTGACTGATGAAAAATTATCATTTTACCCTTCTGCTCTATACAGTGATGGATGAGGTTGCTGAAGAATTACAAATACATACAAATTGTCATACAAAATGTAAATTACACACAAATTTTTTTAAATCCAAATAAAAATTATAAAAGGAATCATTATTTTTATAAAGTTATAAATAGATTCATTTTTTTCAACAATTCAAACAATTCTATCATTAACCAGATTCATATTCATATGAAAAGCACCTCGTATAATCATATGATGTTTCGATAACTTTAGCCAACTCCTTATAGAAAGATCTCTTTGAATTGTATGTGTAAACAACAACAATTTAAGAAAAAAGGTAACAAAACCAGAAGAACAAACTGCTTGTCTACACAAACTGCTATTGAGACATTTGTCCAGAGTTATAGAGGGCATTTTATGAAAGGTTAGATTGTTACAATTTACAAGTTAATTTATCATAAAATCTAACAAACAGATTGAGATCAATAGTCACTTACCCTTTATCTTACTCATAAGTGTAAAATCATCACTTGTGATATCATCATCATCATTATCCAATTCTCCCAACTTCCTTTTTTTAACCTGAAGAAACATTTGATGTAAGTTTCGGACCAAAGTGTTGTGGCAATAGCAGTAACATTTATATTACTAAAATACCCTTTCTATGAATTTGAGCAGAGGAATGGTTAACACAGACAAAACATATCCACTTACGAACATAATAGAACTTGTGAAACACATACATGCAATCAATAGAATTTTTTCAATACAGATACATAGAAATTCAATCAAATTTCAGCAGAAAAATTTGTCAAATACACAGTGTAATGTATAAATGTTCGATCATTTATTTGAATTTAAGGTGAAGACTTGTTTCAACATAATTATATATTCGAGTAGAAGAAACCAACAGAACCAGAACTTGCTAAACACGCACACATAAATTCAATCGAATTTGAGCAGTAAAATATGTGAATCATACAGTCAACCCAACATAAAATATAATTAACACCTACATACCAACACACACACGTGAAATAAAAACGAAGTTGGGAGAACTGGATGAAGAATTTAGGGTAGGTCACACGTTTGGAAGTTGGGAGAATTGCAGAAGGATTTAGGGTAGGTCCGATGTTGGTCCGATGTTTAGAAGTTGCAGAAGGTTATTTGATATGCGTGGCTATGGAGACGCTGCAAGAAGGAGAAGAATCGAGGATGAAGTCGCTGAAAGAGGAACAGTAGGGCAAGGGTAAAGATGGAAACGTATCTCGTTTTCTCAGTCAGCTATTTACGCCATACTAACTGAATCAGATGTTTCTTTCCGAGTCAGACCCCCCCAAAGTTTCATTATCAAACACCTTTTGTTGACCGAGTCAGCCAAAAACGTCTGACTCGACTCGATCGGACGCATATCAAACAGGTACTTAGGGGGTGTTTGATTAGGAAAAAAATGGTGTTTATTGTTTATTGCTTATTCCCACCACAATAAGCTAAATTTAAATGTTTGGATAAAATCCTTAAAAATCAACTAATTTTAATAAGCATCTCTCCCCTTGCTTATTGCTTATTCCCACCACAAATAAGCTAATAAGCAATAAGCTAACAAGCTATAATCCAAACACCATCTTAATATTTTTTTTATTATTATTATAGCTATAACTTTCTTGTAGAATTATCATTTAACGAGTTTTATAGTTAACTTTGTTATTCATTTTGCAAAATCAGTCCTAAAATTAAGTTTAAATTTCAAATTTGGTTCCTATAATTTGTAAAAAATTACACCACATAGTTTTTAACTTTAATTTTCATTTTTATATATTTTATTTATTTTTGTTTTTTATGTTTATATTTTTTTTATTTTCAGTTTTTTAGATATATACTTTATTTATTTTCATTTTTTAACTTTATTTTTTCAACAATTTGATTTTTTTTTATCTTTTATTTTATGTTTTTTTTGAACTTTAGTTCTTTATGGTTTTTTTAATATTTTTATTTATTTTGATTCAAATAAATGAACATGAATTCGATTTAAAATATTATAACAAGTTTTTTTATAGAGACCGACTATTATTATTTCTTTTTTTCTTTCTTTTAGACTATAATCAAATTAAAAAATATTATCTTCAATTTAAACTATTGATATCACGTATACAAGTATGATTTAATTTGCAAGTTATATCACACACTGAAACACTAATTCTCAATAAACAAGTTGTTTGTTTTTTTTAATTTTAATTTTTTCGTAACATAAATAAAGAGCATTAAAGAACAAAAAAATAAAAATAAAAATGAGTTGGACCGAAAGTACAAATATAAATATAATTTTTTATTTACTTGAATAAAAATAAAAAATTATAAAAACTATAAATTACCAAAAATGTAATATACTCTAATATATTTATACATTTTGTATTTTTTGAAAAGGATCAAGAAAAAAGTTAAAAATACAAAAGAAAAATTAAAATATAATATGAAAAAAAATACAAAAAGTGTAAAATATATGAATATATTACAGTAAATAAAAAACAAAAAATAAATAATGTGTGTGTGTGTGTATATATATATATATATATATATATATATAACAAAAATAAATAAATATATATATATATATATATAATGTTGGATTAGGTGTCTAAGCTCATAACTATAATTGGTATATACTTGAATTGATAGTAGCACAATCCTTTTGAGTTGCCCTCAAGACTAACAACTAGGAATGATGATTTTGGAGAAAGATGTTGATTTATTAATTTGATTAATAAATTGAAATAAGTAATTTATTAATATATTATTAGAATAATATATTAATTAAAAATAGTAATATGTAATTAATATTTAATCAGAAATTAATTAGAATTAATTTTGGGGTTAAAATAATTAATTAAAAGTGCAGAGACTGAATTGTAATTGTTCAATAGTTGAGCAATAGGCAATCTAGAACCCTCCATGGGCTATGGGCGGTTTTCCTAGAGCCTTAGGGTTTCTAGAATAGTCTCTAATGGATAATCAGGAAAGTGGATAATTACCCGGTTTAAGATTATCTTGGACTTGGACTTATCTAGGGTTTCCTATCTGCACTATAAATAGGGATATAACCCTAATATTTTCGGCCACTTCTTCCTAATGAACCTCAGCCGAAATTTGCCTGCTCTCTCCTTCTCCATAATCTTCTTCAATTGCTAGTGTTGGGTGTGACTCATTAGAGGCGTGACAATTGTGACGCTTGTTCTCAAAGTCTCAACAACACTAAGGATTTGGATTGTTATTGCTATATAACAATCGAAGGTATGTTTTGTAACCCTAACTATATAATTTTTTTATTATATACTAGTGTTTTAGGGTTTCTACATTGTTGTTCACATGATATGTTCAATTAGAGAAAACGTAGATCAATTTTAGGGTTTCATGCACACATAGGATTGTTTGTTATGCTCAAAACCCATTAGTGGTATTAGAGACTGGTTTAGTTTTCTATTGAATTGATATTAATGTGAACTTGAACAATGAGGAGAAAACAAAATCATCATTCTGTTTATCAAACACGTCGTGGAGTTCTTCCAACACGGCGTGTTGGCCTGCGAAATCAACCCAACACGGCGTGGTGATTGCTCACCACGACATGTTAAGCTCTCAGATCCTAAAAATTCGATTTTTTTCAATTATCTCATGGATTGATTAGGATAATTACCTTAATATTGTTTAAATTGGATAAAACTGAATATTTTAAAATGTAATTTGATATCCTTATCTTGAATTCATGATTGGTTTTATTTTTAATTTAATTAATTGAATATTAATTTTGAAATTTTAAAATATAACCTAGTATTTTTGAAAAGTTTTAAAAATACACACTTATATTATATGTAACATTAAAAATCTGATATTACTATATATATATATATATATATATATATATATATATATATATATATATATATAAGACAAGTCAGTCGAACCGCTAATACGCCTCATTCATGAAGCCGATCTATAACGGGAGTTTAAGGAAACGACCTATAAAATGACCGTCATTGGGTATCCACTCTTACCCACCGCTCCCTTGATTGGTGGAGGGTCATTAGCCGAACGGGTTTGATAGGACACTTAATCCTCATTAATAAGTATAATGGTCTATAAAGTAACTAAATACATTTTTATAAAATTTTCAATCTTAGTTACTTTAGGAAAAGTGTGAATTTGTATGCTAACCCATGAAATTGCACATTGCACTTTATTGGTCGTTAGTGAGTGTGTGTGGTTAACTGGCACACTAATAGGGACTAATAAAGAGTAGCAATGAGTGTCTCGTAAATTATCATTGATTAATGGAGCGCGTGTGGCTAACCGGCACATTAAAATGAGATGATAAATGACATCGAGAGTACCAAGTTAATTTGCATGGTTATTCACATCTTGTTTGTGATCATCGGTATCCCAGTCACAAATGGAAGAGCATAATGGAGATAAAACATGCCACTGAAAAGTTCAATGATTCTCAAAAGATCTAGGAATTTCATTCAAAACTTAATTCGTTCAAATTTTGTTTTTTATGATGAAATTGGTAAATCGTCATTTACCCACCTTTACATAATTTGCAATTAGATTACGGCATCCATTTTCTATGTTGTAAATTATTTAGTTGGATCCTAGCCTTGATATTTCATTTGGGTGTTATATCGAGGATTGTTATTATCTAACTAAAACTTTCTACTCTTTCAGATGTTTACTCCTACCGATGCTTCTAGTTCCTCTTCCAAAAACAACAACAACTTCTCTCTAT